AGTTCCACAAAGAAAATACATGCTCACCAGTGACTGTGGGCATTTGTGCACATTTGTGCTGTAAAACCAAAGGAGGCTTAATCTATGCTGAGAAGACTTCATTACTGCAGTGGCACTACTGTCAATTTTGTGTTTTTAAACTTTAGGCATGCGTATGTTGACAAGTCATAGCACTCAGTTGGTGTTACAGGTGTATAATGTACCACCTGTCCAATGTGATGCCACCGCAGTGTTGGCTGTTATTCCTGATTGCCAGAATAACCTACAACAGGAATTGAATCCTGTCGATATATTAGGATAACTTAGAGTTCTGAAAAATAATCCCCTCAAATCCTTCAAACCCTGATGGAGGGTTTTGCTGGAGCTGGAAGTGCTGGGGTTGAACCATTTGATTATGATGAACAAATATAGGGTCGTTTCACCCGACATTCCCGATGGCCCATTTCAATGGTAGAAAGCAGTTATGCTGGATTTTGTACAGAGCTTCTGTCACCGGACAGTGGCTCCGTACAAGATATCACAGTGCTTGCTGCCTTTGGTAGGTGGCAAATGACCATGGCAACCGAATTTGTCTACAGCATCAACATCATGCCAGTTTTTTCTTTGCACTTCAGGGACCTCGCGTGCCCTTGCCCGGTGTGGGCGGTGGCCCCGGGATGGGTCGGGCAGCGGGCAGGGGAGTGCCGGCGCATGCCGCGGGAGCTGCAGCAGCCCCAGCAGGCCTGGCCGGGCCAGTCAGGGGAGTCGGAGGTCCCTCACAACAGATCATGGCACCGCAGAGCACGATAGGTATGTTGAGGGGAAGTCAGGCTGCGGCTGGGGGTTAGTGCATGCATCTATGGGAAGCGTTTGCATCCACTGACCATTGGCTTCCATAGCCACACATTTTGCTCACAGCCACAGCCATGAGTTTTGGACGTAGACTGTTTTTCACACCTCTGTATTCTCCCATTGTGGTGGATTGATATTGTATACGTTGGTGCGATGGCATTTCCTTAGTGCACGGTCAACTTTGTGCTGGCCATGAAGTTTTGTTACTCATGGCATGAGTGTGGAAAGTGTTGGATCAAGGAAATATGTTTTTTCTGCAGAACAAGTTCCATCAAGAACTGTTGTTGACCCATAGTTTGACTAATTTTAGTTGATGTGTGTGTGTGGTAGTGTAGCTCTTTTAGGACTAGCCCACCTAGGTCAGTTTGCAGTTTTAATGTGTCTCCCAGCATTCAACCTGGAACTAAATTCTGCCCAAACTGTGCATTTTAGCCCTGATGTTTCACTTCCGTTTGATGAGAGGTCTCTATATGTCTAGATGTGACTGTCGCACAAGATCTCGCAAAATGAGTTTTTCGGCCATTTTAAAGTAATTCTGTTGTAATGCGCATTTGAAAGAACAAACTAGGCTCTCTGGGTTGATGTGTCACTTAGTTTTAACAACTTACAAAAGTGTACAACGTGCCGGTTTCAAATGAATTGAACTTGATTGTTTTAAATTTATATCAAAGACAAAAATTGGCTCTGGGGACGCACGACACTGTTCATCAGGATGGGCCCCATGTCTGCATAGAGGCATAATGAAATAAATGAATTAGTCTCAATTCAAGCAGTAGTTGTTGCATGTTGTGTCTTGTTGGATTTGCCGTAGTTAGGACCAGATTGGAGGAAATGAAGATGTTGATTACTTTGCCAACGCTTTTTCTTCGTTGCAGCGGCTCCACCTCAACAGTACGGTGCTGGAAGAGGAATGCCCACCAGACCTCCCATGGGTAAGTTGATATGCGGCCCATCCTATTTATTAACCCTTCATGAACACTCAAGTGCGTTGAAAAACAGTCGGATCTCAAAAAATGGTCGGAATTTCCGTTTAATTTGAAAAACTCTCCCATACCTTTTAAGCGTGCAAACATCGTACCCTTACCACGGTATCATTAAAAACTTTAAAACAAATTGCACACAGTGTAAATAATTGACACAAAGTTCCGGTGATGAATTCCTTTGATGTGACCGAGCAGTAAAGTGTTGTGAAAATCAGATGACATTTTACAGGTATTTTTACAATAAAAATGAACGCCAGATTGCATCAATTAACTCTAACAGTCCCAAATCCTTCTATTTTAATATGATTTTACATAAACCTTAGGGGTTAGAGTTAGATCATCAAACCTCTAAAAGGGACAGTTCTGTTTAAACGTTTGGGAAAATTTGTAAATGTATTTGGAACTTTTTCCATTTAAACATGTTAACCTACCACCCTTAGACACCGGTGCACATGTCCAAGAGCTTTATCTCGTATTTACCTTCAAAGATCATCGTCTTGCGCATCCTGAACAAAAACTGTAAAGATTTTTTTGTTGTTGTTTCTTAAGGATGTACACATTGTTTTGGATACCTTTGAGCTAACTTTGAGGGCCAAATTGTCCAAAGTGTTCAAATAGATCATCTTTGAAATACTGAACATGAAACCAATTCCGTGCATGCACTTAAAGGCTCTCCCCGTTGCTGCAACCCTGAAACTATGGCTCTCTGGGGACCTTTGCTTTTTGGCAGAAATTTGTAACTTTGCCCACATTGCACACTTGGCTTACCTAAAAACACAAGAGACCCTTTTTCCTGTGCAAGAAGCCCACTTTTCAGTGGGGAGGGGTTGGCCTCCTGGTAAGGCTTCTAATTTGCTTGGCAGGGGTTTGAATCTGCAGTGGGGTTGTATGTTGTGACTTCGGGGAAGTCTTTTCACCCACACTACCCAGTGGTGGTTGGTTAAACCTGAAAATGGTTACAGTGACAGTTCTCTGCTCCGCAGGGAGTTGAGAGAGTGTACAGGATTATTTCTAGTGCTGGGGGCCACGTTATTATTTTCCTTTCCTTTTCCCTACTCAGGTAGAGGCATGCCCCCTGGCATGGTGCCGCCCGGAATGAGACCCGGAATGCCTCCACTCATGGGAAGAGGGATGCCACCACCGGGCATGGGAATGAGACCGCCCATGGGAATGAGAGGTATGAACAAGTGGTGGTTTTTATTTCTCTGAGGGTTTGTCTAGGCTCTGTGCCCAGGTCTAAGGCCCCACGGGGGGGCTCTCACATTCAGTTTGAACGGTATATTCATTTAAACTTAAAGCAAAGTCTTGCTGTACATGTACCTTGACTCCACATATGAATAACACCGCGTCCGAATGACTTGGTCACAGATTTGAAATAATACCATTTGCCTATGAAGTCGATCAGCTAGTTGTTTCATTCATCGCCCTCTGTTGCCAAGTACTTTTAGACGTGGCCTGAGAAAATGAGAGAGTGCTCAGTTTGAGTTGCAGTTGACTAACTGGCTGTCTTGCATTTAAGAATTTTGCAGTGCCTCAATATTTCAGCGTCACGCATTGACAGGAATGTGGTGCTTCTTAGTTTCCTTTCTGAGTCAAAGTGCAGTGCTGTGAACTTGGAACCTTCCTGGCTTAAGCGTGGTCAGAGTTTGTCATTGGGAAGAGACTGGGGAAATTTCAAATATTTCATTGGAGACAAATCATCTACACTTTCTCTCTATTCCTTCCAGGACCACCACCACCAGGCATGAGACCCCCTCCCAGGAATTAGCGGCTAGTTATTTTCTCCGTAGACCTGCCTCTGGGGGAATCACTTCCTTGTGCACCAGTCACAGACTTCTCTCGCACCCCCCCCAACCCACGTATTAGAACTGGCACGATGCTTCTCTGGCAGTTGCAAGAAGACATTCAGAACAGAACGACTCTTTTCTTTGTCAGTTCGGCTTGCTCAGATTCCTTCAAGACCAAGCCAGGATAACAGAACAGCTTTCCTGGATGAAGTAGACTTAGTGAAGTCCCATTGAACCTATTTTGTGCATTCCCGTTAACGCCCTGTGTTGCAAAGTACAAGTTGGTCCGTCGTTACCAACTTGATCCAGGGAATACCAGCGTGAGATAACGTTGGTTTGTATATAGTTCAGAGTCTTCTTGTAAGATTCAAGTACAATTGTTTGAATGTTTTAATTCTACAAATTCCTTTTTCATCTTTTTTTACCTGTTCAGTTATGCCTCATGGGCTTTTTTGAGTGTAGTTTTTCCATGGGGCTCTACCACATGTTTATTATGACATTTAAAAGTTTTATTTGGAAATTTTTTTTTAAGTTTTGTGGCTTGAGTGTCCATTGTTAAAACATATTGCATCATTGTTGGACTTGAGCGACTGCATCCAAAACCAGAGACAAGACAGTATAGTTTGAGCCCTATATATCACATGGCAGTGAGATACATTAAACTTTGTACGTCCGTCTACTCTATGCTACATCAGTCTGGTAGATGTCAAATTTGGCTAGCCAAGGACAGAGGTCACTTACGATACAGCTCGTCGGTTGCACCACAAAGTGACATATCATGTGTACGAAGTCTATGGATGGTACGTCACTTTGTCGTGTACCAAAACTGTCCAGTATGTCAGTTTGTGGTGAAATTGATGAGTTTAACTGTGGCTGGCTACTCAGATTCACAAATGACAGAAAAATATTGCCTCGTCAAAACCAGGTGTATCTAGGTATTGATTGGGGGGGCACACGTAGTAGGGAATTCTTCAAACAAGATAAAGGTGGCCCCCAGTAATGTTTGTAGCATATTTTGGGGGATGGGGAGAGGGACAAGGGTCACCGATGGTTCCTGAAAATGGCAAATGTCTGGGGTTTGTTTGTACCCCTCTGCCCAGCCACAGGTAAAATGTAGTGATCCTGCTTTTTTTCCCAGACGATCGGAGTTTGAGCAGGTGATTTTTTTTTTACCTGAAGCAAGTAGGTGTAGGGTTGCCTGTTAAAACGACCTTGCTCCCATCTTTGTGTTCGTGGAAAAACAAGTTCTGGATATATCTCTTTTATTTTCTTGAATGCAGGGCCCCCTTTTTTAAAATTCTGCCAATGTTCTGTCGGTAGATTCGCAATCTTGATGTGAAATAAATTTTCTAATTACTGTAACAAGATTATTGTGTGATATTCATACATGTGTGGTTTAGGCGTTAATGCTGTTCACATTGAGAATCCAGATTTGCTCATTGAAAGTGATGTAATTAGTTGGACGACTTTGCTCACTATTGTGAACTGAAAACAGTGAACTGAAAAATCACCAAAGTGAACATCTGCGAAAGCGAAATTCTTGTTGGGCGCCATCCGTCGATCTGCGCGATTTCTTAGTTTTTCAATAATCTGCCGTTCTTATCGCACAATTTGCAAGAATTCTGCCATCGGGCCATTTTTTTTGCATTTCATTCGCAGTTGTGAAAGATATCACTCTGGATCTACTGATGTGCTGATCGATTGATCATGCCAAACGAACACATTCTTGCTAAGTTAAGTGCAGACATAGCTTAATGCTAAAGTTACATGTCAACAAATCATCAGCATAAGAAGTCCAGCTAGGCACCTGCACTTCCCCCTCCAGATGTGGACTGAGAAATCCCTTCACAGAATCACTTGTGTAGAATGCCGGAGAGTTCGGGTTGATCACAGATACTACCAGCAACAGTTAGAAACGGCGCGTGATATGACGATATCAGATCGTAAATCGCGTGCATCGATTTTGCGAACTGAAAATTTAAAAGGCATCCTGGTTGTTGCTGAGTTACTTTGTAGGTATTCAGAATCACTTCAAGCGTTTCAAAGTAGGTCTTTATGATTTTGGTTTAGGAAACTGCAGTTGAGGTCGTCTGCTGGTAGTGGATGCCAGATACAGTGTATGTCGCGTATATTTTTCAGCCGGACTTTTGAACTACGCATGTCCGCTTACAGGGTTATTTGCGTAATAAGGCTTACTTGTATTGCGTCACACAACGATTTCCGTGCCCTGAAAAAAGTTGTTCCAGAACATTAAACGGCAAATTTTATTTACATAAAATTATGAAGTAGGGTTAGGCCCGTTTCTAATATTTTTTATGAAAGAAATTTAAAGATAGTCGCAGAGTGAGCCAACGTAGCGACTTTGCTTCGCCAACAAAAGTTTGCTGACGAAATTGATTTTTTTAAAAATAATTTATTACTAAATTAAACTTTGTATTATCGATAATTTTCGAAAAGCAATCTTTAAAACGGTTAAAACTTGATTTTGCAGATTAAAAAACAGAGCATTTTTCACAGTCGAGATTCGAGCTCACAGCCTCTCGCTTCTGGATCAGGAGTGTTAACCACGGGACCACCAAACATTTATTTTCCGGGGATAAAAGTTTTTTTGTATATTTTAAAGACTTTTCTTTTTGAAATAATCATTTTTTATCAAAATTAAATTTCTATAATATACAATTTTCAAAAAATCGTTACAATGGCTAAAAGTTTACTTTGAAGGTATCTCAGAAAAGAAATAATTTAAGAATAATTTTCACACTCATGGTTCAATCTCACCACCTCTCGCTCCCGGGTCAGGAGCGTTAGCATCGAAACCACCAAGCTGCACTTATTTTTGGAGGCTAAGAAGTTTGCTGTACAAAGATACACGATTGACAATCAGTTTGCCCTTGTCTCCAAATATTTATTTCTCAGTAAATTCTAGCACTAAATTAAATTACAAAAGAATGCCCCTTACATGTAGTTTAGACACAAGTTATGTGAAAGACACATAGGCCTATGTAATTTGTAAGTGACCGCGATGTCAAAATGACCTTTGCAACTAACAAGGCTAAATATATGTATATGCTTTACCTTGAAATAATGTTCCATGCACATAGTCCCTACAAAATATTATGTGCTTAATTAGATTACAGGAAAAAGAAACTTATGATAGAGGTAAAAAAGTGGTTTTAATGCAACCCGGAATATGCCGGAATCAAATTGAATTTACATATTCGGTACAAGTAGCTTTCTGGATTTTTCATGCTCTTTGACGGACGTATTCAAATTAGGTGGTTAGCGTAAAAAATTTTCAATATTCTGATATTGTGCCACCAGGTTTATGTTCTGGTGTCAACAATTTTGGTTAATCACAAAATGAACGGCGATTTTGTGCTACTGCTAGTTTGTCATTCTGATCATTAGGCTTGATGAAAATGCAATATTAAACCAAATTGATGTCTGCTCGTAATTTGGACGAGTTTTGAGATGCAATATTTTTCTGTAAACATGACTTCGGCACTTTGCAGTAAGCGTGCTGGGCATTGGGGTAATATACTCCTTGCTGCACGTACGTGTAGACGGTTCAGAGTAGATAACCAATTTGATTCTTCTCTGGTTAATGACATCTTCTAAACTAGGACAAGGCCACAATTACCCGGTAATCCAACACTGATAAGACATACTACATGTGCTCCCTTATTGAACACTGCTGTCAACATTGCCGACTTTCATCCCTATGGTATACAACTGTCTACAGGCTATCCCAGCTTAATTAACCCTAACCCTCCTCAATCCTCCAAAATCATTCGGGCGGTTTTGGAGGATTGAGGAGGGTCCCTAACAAAAAGGGCTTTGGTGTTAGGGTTAAGGTTGAGTCTTAAATTGTACCGGTTTCTGATCAGAGGCTGCGACCCGTAGATGTCTCTGTCCATGCTACGGTACTTCTGTCAATACGAACAATAGGAAGCTTATAAACAGAACATTCAATGTGATCAGATACATTTTGCAAGTTCACATGCGCACCTGTATTTGCCAATCTTTTGAATGCGTGATAATATGATACTCTAATAATTGTGCGATCAATTTCTAGGATGTTACTGCTATCGGTACAACACCGGAATAATAGGAACCAATGACGTGGAAATTAACATGTATACTCCAACATACTTCCAATCAATTGCACTTGGCAGAATCCACATCCAAATACATTATACCAACATACTCTGCAAGTATGTTTCCTTGAAGGGCATGTTGGATTGTACATGTACCTCGATCATTTTATATTGACTGACATCCCCAAGTCCCACGTGAGAAACCTTGCTTAAGCATCTTCAGATACCCTGGGTGTGAAAACTGGTATTTCAGTATTCCTTAGCCATGGTATCCACAGACCTTTTATTTGTTTAAATGAGCGAGGCAATATTTCACGAGGTGTACCCTAAAAAAAAGCTGAATGGAGGAACCTATATCTCCCTCAGGCTGCACATTAATGCAGGTTTACAGGGAGCCTGGAAGTAAAGAGTCACGCGGCAAACTCCCTGAACCCTCGTGCAGCCCGACTACGAGGATTTTGTGGAGCCGTTCCGTCACGTTTATAGTTTTTTTAAAAGAATGATTCTTGACTGAAACCACCCCACGAAACACTTACGTCGGAATTTTTGTCTGTGTGCTTCAGGTGATGTCGCTGAAACGGTAGTAGAGATGGATGCCGGTAACAAAACAAATTTCATTAATGACCTTTCACTTCCAGCAAAACTCTCTGGAGATAGGCCTACACCATGTACTTTCCTATGGGAAATAGTTTTATTGCCAGTCTTGAGGGGAGACCAGTCTTTACGCGTTGTTTAAGCTTCCCTTGGTGAAATGCCGGACTTTACTTTCCTCTGAAAAAAATTCTACAGACATTATTCAAACAGTTTCCCTGGTGTGGCGTGTCAGAGAAATCACGACCTGACACAGTTCTCGCAAGCAAAAGTTAGATTAGATTTATTAATCTTTCGCAAATGCTAATTATTCCTCACAGTTAATTTCCATAAAAACTGTAAAACGCAGAACTTGTTTTGTTCTGTTTTCATTTTATTATTTTACCAAAAAGACTACCATAAATTATAATTTTGTAACTTTTCATCTGCGTATACAAGAACACCGAGTTACAATGGTAGTCATTTATTTTAGATTTTCGGAAGTGAGAGGTCAATTTTGGGCAGATTAATAATTCTCTTTCAAGTTAATTAAGCAATTTTTAAATTTCCAGACATTAATATGATAATATCTTACAAGTTAATTTCTGAAAGTGGTTTTGAGAAGTAAATGAAACAAAATGCAAAGTCTAATATTTTTGCACCTATCCAAGGGTTCGAGAAGTGCGTCATATCAGGCGTCAACTTTCTGGTTCTGTTGGCGTGAGGTTTACCAGGAAGTCTCGCCAACCAATTACTATGGAGCTGCTTCTTGGTTCATTTTCACTAATATTTTGGAAGTTCTTCTACAACGTGAACAAATAATCCAATAACGTGCAGTAACTTTTTATGGTGTAAAAGATTTAAACAACTTCACGCAATTCAATTGAGTTTTCCCTCTGTAAGCTCTTCAATGGCCGCTGATGGCTATCATTCCAAAAATAACAAAAATGGAATGCTCTGTCTTCTCCAAATATAATGAAAACCATACTTTTTGCGACGTAATGGATACCGATTAAATCTCACACCACCATTGAAACGGCTTACACAGGCCGTCGACGCGTTCGGACATATATAGCAAGATTTGCCGACGATTACTTTGTCCTTTTGGTCAACATCATCGCAAGGGATGTCATTCAATTGACACATCTGTTCTCCACTGCAGACAGGTCCCAGGTTGAAGGAGCGGCATCGAAACTCACCCCGACACGCCGAAGCACAGGCAACGATGCCCTTAGAGGTGAATAATTCTGTTACGACGTGACTGGTCAAGCATGGAGATGGAGACGGTTATCTGCATCAATCTTCGCGCAGAACATCGGCGAAGTATTGAACTTACTGACGCCAACTGCACCAAAAGAAGACCTGGCGATCCCCGTTACCACTGGATCGATCGAGCCGACGGACTCTGAATTGGTTGTAAAGTCGGCATTGACTGATTTGACAGACGGTTGAGCCCCGCTGTTGACTGCGTTTGGAGTAGGCCTTGACATGGCATCGACTGGATTGGTGGTAAACTTAGTGCTGACTGGTTTGAAAGTAGACTCAATATCGTCTGATGTGACAATTGATTTGGTATCGATGGAGTTGACAGTAGGTTTTACACTGACTGTGTTCATAGAAGTGTCGACCGGCAAACCATTTGATATGATATCAAATGGTTTTCCGGTAGACTCAGTATCGAATGTGTTGACGGTGGACTCGGTATCGACGTCTTTGACCGTAGACTCAGTATCGGCTGCTTTGACGGTAAAGTCGGCATCGAGTGGTTTGATGGTAGAGTCGGCATCGACTTGGCTGACAGTAGACTGGGCATCGACTGGGTTGACGGTAGAGTCGGCATTGAGTGGTTCGACGGCAGACTGGGCATCGACTGGGTTGACGGTAGAGTCGGCATTGAGTGGTTCGACGGCAGACTGGGCATCGACTGGGTTGACGGTAGAGTCGGCATTGAGTGATTTGACGGTAGACTGGGAATCAACCTGTTTAACGGCAGATTCAGTAGGCATATCGTGTGTATTTAGGGTAGGATCGGCATCGACTTGTTTGACAGTAGACTCAGTATCGACTCGGACTTGTTTGACAGTAGACTCAGTATCGACTGGTTTGACAGTAGACTCGGTATCGACTGGTTTGACTGTAGACTCGGCATCCTCTGGATTGAAGGTAGTCTCGGCATCGATCGAGTTGACTGAGGACTCAGTGCCGAATGAATTGTCAAAAGACTCGGCACTGACGGGCAGGACAGTAGGCTGGGTATGCGTATCGCCTGAGCTGACAGGGGTATCGATACTAACTGGTTCGACAGTGGGTTCAGTATCAGGCAGAGCATATACTGAAGTGCCAGTGGACTCAGCAATAACTGGTAAGGTGGTAGCAGTACTGTTTGGATTGATCGTATGTTTCGGAGATAATCGGACCTCACAAACAGTGTACATCTTGTAAGTGCACAAGTAACAATGCGTGTACCTGTAGTAATATCCTGTGTACCGGCATGCGCAATAACAATTTGTAGGAAAGATGGAGTATGTCGGTACGTCTTTGCACGGAGTACCATCGGAATTAATCCATACACCCGATGTTGAAGTCTTGTAACAATCGATCCAGATGAAAGCATTCCTCCCAAACTGGCTCAAGACCAAGGTTTGCAAGAACTCAAACTCGCTTTGAGTGCTGGGTGATGTCAAGTCACCTCCCATGTCAGAGCATCTCTTTGAGGCATTTTTCCAACTTGCTTTTTCTCTCAACGCGCAGTACCCTGTACCATTGAACCACGCCAATTCGGGACAGAATGCCTCTGCTCCGACACCGATGAGGACAACCACAACTGCAGTCGCTGCTTTCATCTCGCTTCCTTTGACGCATAAGTCGAGCTTCAAAATGCCGCAAGGGGGTTCGGGGACTACTCTCCTTCTTAAACACTTTGTATTATTCAAAGGAATATGGTTAATGATGCAGCCAGTTCCGGCGAAGTAATCCACGAACCTCAAACTGCAGTTTACTCCGAAGATGTTTCATAGAGTCAGGATATTTATTGGTTACCGGTACGGTCTCCGTCGGGGGTGGTCTGGTCGTCGGTTCATCATATTCCTGAGGAGACCGAATAGCCCGAGATGGCATGCAGTTCACTTCTGTCGGTTCATGTATAACCAGAGTTTACAAGTTTCCATGGCATCCATCAAAATACGTCAGTGATTGGTCTGTGAAATCCATTGCTAAGTGATAAATTATCATGTGTAATGAACTGAGATCATGACACTATAGCATCAGAGAGAAACGCGCTTAATTTAAGCAATAAAATAATATGAATCTTCCGCCAAAGTCAAGGTTTCATCACAGTCAATTAAGTTGATTATGCTAAGGTTGGTAATTACTGTGGCTGACGGCTTAACTCCTAAAATGCGACACAACACTCATCCACCAGCAATTACCTAGGTTTTCATCAAGTTGAATTCGCTGAAAAGGGTTGACTGGCATGCCAAGGACAATCCGACTGGCGCTGTAATTGTTGTTAAAGCCCCGTTGCATTTAAAACTATGACGCCACGAGGACTTCGCTACAGCGGGCGGCTTGCAATCGTTTCCAGTGTCTTGTAATCAGCACAGGTTTACCGACCAGACTCCCAAGGCACGCCGTTCGCTTCGCAATCCACGCTGAACATCAGTTCGCTCAACTAACGCCACAGCTGTACTCCAAACCTACAAGGTCAGAATCGCCTGATCAGTATGGGAAAAGCGCTTTCATTTCTCAACTTACCTAATAACACAGCAGACTCATTACACACGAAGCAACTTGAAGCAACAGGCCTACATTGTACTAAACACAAAATATCTCACACAGTTTAGTGGACAGGTGTAACAGTGAACACCAAACCTTATCTCATTGCGTCTATTTTTGTAACCGTAAAGAAATGTCGAAAAACGCATAGACCTTCATTGATGTTTTGCCAACCAGCTTTACACCTCTTCGATTTGAAACTACAGTTACCGAAATTGCTAGGCCTACACACAACCATCGTAGAACATGCAAACTGCGTCGAGAATTAATCAGCACATAAACATAACGAAAGACAATCTCAGTAAGGTATCAAAGTCTTGGGTCGCGGATGGATCGAAGTTATTTTCTGAAAACGACAATCCAAGTTTTTCATACACAAAAGTATCCTCAACCGAGGTAATACTATCGTTTCTAAAATGCTGGCACTTAATGGAATCCGTAGCCCTGAAGTCGAGTGGGTTGTCGGATTCGGCACCGACAAATGATTGGGCATCAACTGCGTGCACAGTAAACACGGTGGCGACTGGGGTGTCAGTAGACAGGGCATCGACCGGGTTGTCGGTAAATAAGGCATCATCTGGGTTGTTAGCAGACGGGACATGGACTTGGTTGTCGGTTAACAAGGCATCGACTGCGTTGTCAGTAGACAGGACATGCACTGGGCTGTCAGTAGACAAGACACCACCGGAGTTGTTGGTATACTGGGCGTTGACATGTAGACAGGGCACCTATTGGGTTGGCAGCAGACAGGGCACCAATTGGGTTGACAGCAGACAGAGCATCTACCGCGTTGGTAGTAGACTGGGCACCGATTGGGTTGACAATAGACAGGGCATCGACCGGGTTGCCAGCAGACAGAGCGTCCACCGCGTTGGTAGTAGACTGGGCACCGATTGGGTTGACAGTAGACTAGGGCATCAACTGAGTTGTTGTAGACAGGGAATTGACTGGGTTGTCAGAAGATAAGGCACTGACTGGGTTAGAGTAGACAGGACGTTGTCATGAGTAGCCTTCGGGGGATGTCAACTGGGTTATCAGTAGACGCAGCATCGATCGTGTTGACAGTAGACTTCGAAGTTGATGGGAACTCACAAATAGCGTGTCGATTATAATCACACTGGCTGTCATACATGCCACTGAAGTTCGACCCACCGTCAAAATATTACAGTGGCTAACATTACCCTGAGGAAAGCCAATAATATGCCGGCGATCTTCCCCACAGGGCGATGCTGACATATTGAAACAGCCAATAGAGTTTAGAGTTTTCATCAAAGAAATATCAAATTTTGGGTAGTTCGGTTAAGACCTTATATCTATCATCTTTTGTTGATCAGACTGGACTCATCACGGGTTGCAGTACTATTGGTGCCAAAAAGCTGTCTACTATTATCAGTCGCGTATAAAAGCGAATTGAATAAATCTCAACCCCGCGCAATACAGACAATTCACAATAGTTTGCAACACGTTGGCCAATCATGACGTGCAAAATCTGTCGACTCAATGCGCGTCGGAAAGGTCGACAGATTTCGCGTGTCGTGATTAGCCAACGCGTTGCAAACTCTTGGAAGCGCACCCGTATTAAACTACAAACTGAAAATAAAGCGCTATTGAATACAATTACATTGGTTCGACTTTAATATCGAGGTCTCTGTCTCAGTCTTGTTCCTGCCTAACGAATTGCACGACTGACGGAGAGCGTTCTGTTGACATCAGAATTGTTGGTTTTCCCGAAAAATGCCGCAATAAGTTTGATATGAATAAATACCATAGAAGGAAAAACAGTCTCTATTTTTTCTGGTGTGCAAAATGGTCGTTAGATGTTATTTGTAATCACGGAGCCTTGTGGTTGTTTCCATAAGGTTCTCCAGGGAGCGAGTATAAAAATGTTGCCTTAGGGGTGCAGGCACCTGACTCACAGTAGACGTACGCGTAAGAAATAACAGGCAATTATGTGTCACTGACCAACGAAATCAAACGTTTTCGTTTTCCATTTCGGTTTCCAAAATATAGGACGGATGCATTTAATTGGGCTTTCTCCAAGCAAAAGCTAACACTAACATGTTGGTACACATATTTTAACTGAAAAAAAGTGCCCAAAAGACTAAAATGGTGGATATAAAATGGGGCAACTTGAAAATAAGTTACTGCGTAATTCATTTTGAGTGCATTCTGTTTGGCATGGACAATACAGTGTGTCCTCCTAAAATGGTGCGAACAAAATAAAGCCCATTTTAAACATAAAATGTCAACCTACCGATGTTTATAAATTATACGGTTTTAAAGACGACAATCTTGGCTTGATGATGCTTTCTATTTCAACTATATTAACTTTTGTTGCTCCAGAGATGCATCGCAGTAAATACAGCAATTTAGTCTGATCACATAAACTAATGGCGCTTGTATTCAAATTTGACAGCACTGTGTGCTAAAACGTGCGGACCAGTAAACCCTTTTTTTTACTGAAAAGTTAAAAGAAAAATTCAAACTCAGTTTTGAATATGAACAGCATTAGCTAGCTTATTTTGGGGACACACTCTATATCCCATCGGATTGCATGAAACTCAGAAACACGCCAAAGATGTCTGACCAATTCACACATATATTTTGCTTCACATTAATGCATTACATTACTGTTTTCCCTCTTGCTATTTACCCAACAGTTTTGAAAGCCGTGTTGTGCCCACCTTTTCTCAAATTAAAGGTCAAAATATCTGACCTCCTGCTCTCTTAAATATGTAAATTAGTTGACGATTTCAATGTCTTACATTTTTATGACTGACTTACATGAAACCGTACTTGCCATGTCTGCCACACCACAAGTCATGCTCGAATATATCCCATATATACACACACTGAAAAATGTCATCATTCCAAAAACAAAAAAAATATCAAGAATACCAGACGGATGCTTCTGATACAAATTTACAGTTGCATCAATGTTTATATACATGTTCATTCATTTCAAATAAACAAAAGTGGTCTGTGCTCTGCTTTCCTGCAAAAGATTCTTCATATGTTCAGTATGTTTTAATGTTAAAATATAGTACTGTACAGGTATTAACAAGGATTTGAACACTGAGGGATCTTCTTGTGTGTGTATCCAATGGGAAATGATATCCCCAAACCTTGGCAACTTTAAAAACCAGCGTAATAAGGCACCAATTTGTACACAAAATTAAATTCAGGGTTTATGAATGTCATATCAGGATTTACCACATCGTGATTAAGCACCAGTGTACCATAAGCTCTGCATTGGTCTAGGCAAGGTTCCCACAGAAATCTGAAATCCAAATTCCATGAGTTTTCCAAGACTCAAATATGACAATTTACAAAGCATTTATTGCCATTTTGATGACAAATGCTGTTTGAAGTGGAAGACTGCCATAGTGTGATTGACAAGGATTGCCTGCAAATTTATCAATATGACATAAGTGACCCATCAAAAGTAACCCTTGCATGATCTTGAGTTTCATGACTTTTCTTCTCTGTTATCAGGATTCCAGGGCAGCCCAATTTTTCCATGAATTTGTAGAACATATTTTTCCCAGGATTTTTTCAGGATATCCACGACCGTTGAAACCCTGTCTGGGTACTCTTATCACTTTCACGGTGCTGGCTTGCACTGGACTGGAGAGCCTTGTACATCATGTTGATGCCAAGCAGTACTAAGGTATGTCAGCTAGATTAAAGCTCCCTCAAACAGAAAATTCCCGCAAAGATGCCCCAAATTTCAAGAACCTTTGCTTTACTTTAGCATAGGTGTATTTTACAATACACTAGGATTTCTGCAGGCCCTCTGGGTTTTCGCAGGCCCTCATCAAAGTGACTGCCATGTTTACTAGACAATCTGTCCCTGGATCTGGCCTGCTGTGATTGGAATACGGGTAATCCCAGAAATTAGGGGTCCAAAAGTGTGACATTTTTGTGTCCCTGTTACATCTAACCTTTGTTATTTGACATGGAAATATCACTGAAATTGATTTCCAACTATTACTATTTGTTTGGCAGGTAATTTGCATTAATTCATCACTCTTGGAAATTACAAAATGTGTTCTGAACGTACAAAATCATATGTCAGATATGACAGGGACACAAATAAAAAATGGAGCCCTAATTTCTGGATATTACTCATACACATTCTAAATGTTCTGCTTCAATAGTCAGCACACTGCAAAAAAGTACACACCAACAAAAGAAAGTCTGCTTAGGTGGCAGAGTAAAGTCAAGATCAGGTTGAACTGGACACAGCTACGAAAGGAGGAACAGCTGAAAAGTAGCATTGGGGTATTTTCACTGATGTTGAAATTTCTGAAAACAGTAAGGCTGCTGAGCTTTTAAAAAAGTATTTTTCCCCCTCAAAACCCCAAATCAAATTCTTATTTCTTGTTTTGGACATTTCAAGCGGGCCAATGTAAATTTTAACAACTTCACTTTTGAACAGCCTATTTCAAAAACTAAAAGAGCACTTGAGATGATAAGGTAAACATTTTACTTATAATGCAGTAACTCCATACTGACTTCTTAAGCAAATGTGACTGATTTTGTCATAGGCCCGCCCCTTGTCAAATTTTCAGTCAGTGAACATTTACACCAAACGAAGGCACCTTGGAAGTCCAGTTCGGGCTGCATGAGATCATTTTTGGGTTTATTTTCAAAGTGACAAGGACCACAATATACACAGATCCTCCAGAGATGGAAAGTTTCGACCGGGTCTG